GAGAGCAGAGACTTGGTTAGTCACTACAGACCCGTTAGTCTATCCAGTGCAGTTGTAAGGCTAATGGAAACGAGTATTCGGATGGCTGTTATAAAATATGTGGAAGGGCATAATCTTTTATACAGAGAACAACATGGTTTTCGGAGAGGCCTACCATGTTTGACAAATATTCTCATTTCAAGAGAAGATCGGGCTTCAGCAAAAGGTCAGAATATTCCTGTAGGTGTGATTTTCAAAGATCTAAGTAAAGCCTTTGATAAGGTCCCGCATTCGGGTCTTAAATTCAAATTGGAAAGTTTTGAATCCATTATAAGATCATAGACTGGATAAGTGACTTTCTCCATGGCAGGATTCAAAGGGTAAGGATTAATAGAGCTCTCTCCTCGTGAAGACTTCGGAAAAGTGGAGTTACCCAAGGTTCAATCCTCGGTCCTCTTCTTTTTTACTCTTCGTCGATGAGTTGCCAACTGCAGCAGTCATCCGTTCTACTGTTTTCCGATGACATAAAGATATAGAGACCCATACACAGTATGTGAGATAGGGTGATCTTAGCTCATTAGTGGCATGGATGGTCAGGTGGTCACCAGAAGTAAATCCTGACAAGAGTGTGGCGATGCAATTAAATAACTATGATGATTCACACCACTATACAATATGTGGATTCGTGCTACCCAAAGTAAGAAACTATAAAGATTTTGGAGTCATACTAAGCTGTGATCTCAAAATCACCAGTCAATGCAAGGCTGTTGCTGCAAAAGGCTAAAAGGTATTAAGGTTTATTCGTAGGTTTTTGTAGTATTTAGATGACGAAATGTTTAGATTATTATACCCGATTTCCGTGCGACCACATTTGGAACATGGGATTCAAGCAACGATTCTTTGTTTCAAGTATAAAGCAGATGTGCTGTACAAAGATGAACAGATATAGCATTGGAGAAGTTCCTGTGCCCATGGTCCGGTCTCACAATGATCTTGAGGCGACAGTGAGCCATGATCTTAAGGCCACACCTCACAGCCGAGAGGTCGCACCTAAGGGGTTTAGAACCCTATGGGTTTTAAGACACACATTCACCAAGTAAGATACTACCATGTTCAATACAATATACACAACGTCAGTGAGAACTAAGCGTGGTAACTGCGCTCAGATCACCAACACCTGCTGAGAAATGTTATAAACAACTTGAAAAAATGCGTTGGCAATCGTTTTTTCTGTATGCCATTTCCACAAATTGTTTTATGATAGATACTTCATGTTGTTGGCTCTTTCTGGCAGTTTTGAGCTCGAAGTCAGGAAAGTCGGCGTATTTAACAAACCGACTTCAGAATTGGGCGACATCGATGCTGGGATATGATTTTGATGATCACTGTCGTAGGACAGAAGATTTTCTTCAGTCAGAGGTTATTCACGCCTAATAAGCAATTACCCCAATACTGACAAAGATTCTGTTTTTGCTGTGACTTCTACGACGGATTACGCAAACGACATTTTCAAGGGTGCAGTGAGAGCCCTTCACATAATGGTCTGCCAGGCGACAGATGCAACGAGAAGAGACTCGACGCTTCAAGGGACGATTCATTCAATCCAACTCCATTAATTTCTCCCTCTTTCGCCACTGTTGACCTTCTCTTCGTAATAATGGTTGAATATGCATTTTCCAAGTTGCATCATGTTCAGCTTTAAGGATTGTTTAGTTAGGCCAAATGTCAATACAGATCCATGGTTCAGATTACATGTAAATTTTGCGGGTCTTATGGCGGGGAGTAAGCTATTTAGTATTAGTAGACGCATACCCAAAGTGACCTGAAATACATACAGTATTGTCTCGAATGACACAGTAAACGTTAGAAATATTGGGGAATATATTTGCGCGCCATGGACGTTCAGAGACTGTGATCACAATTCACATCCGGCAAATTCGGCGATTTTCGCAATCGAAATGTCGTCGTCCACATTCGCTTTCTAACGCACCATCCAAAACCAAACAGTCAGGCTGAGCTTTTGCTAACACATTTAAAAGAGCTGTCTTGAAAACGGAAAAGAATCGACTGTTGAAAAGTCATTCAGAGACTTCTACTCATATACACGAGCACATCTAACAACATAACATCAGGACGAAATTCACCGGTAGAAGCTCTAATGGGACGAAGGCTAATAGGAAATAAATAATACAATGTAACCAACTAAGAAGAAAGGACGAGAAGAAAACTTTGACATAGCACCAAGACATTTGTGTATGTCCGTGACTACAGACCTGGAAAAGAAGGTTAGTCAAGAGGGAAATCAGTAGGTCATTTTTGAAGTGGCTATAGAAGGAGATAGATGGGTACGCCTCATGAACTATATACGTAGAGGACTCACCAATGAAAACAGGACAGCCATAGACACCGTCCTGGATGCTTGAAAAATTCCGAAGGAAATAACGGGAATGATACAAAGCACGACAGAATTAGCACCTCGAGAATCTGCAGAAACGTTATCATCACAAAGAATTACACGACAGAAAACAAGGACCGTCGAATTCAGAAGCAGAGAAAGAATTTCAAAAAATGGAGTTGTTAATGCGGTCACAAGAATAGTCAAATTTCATTGTAGGGCTAAAATCTCTTCAGGGACGATAATCGCTCACACACTATCTTCTGCATAACTTTTGAGCTCTGATTTGTTGTCATGTTTTTAGCTATCTAAATTGCAACATATGTAAGGTCAGATTCAGCTAGTATAGTAACAACTTTTGTGCTAATTTCGAGGTGTAATTCCATCTTGTTCCTCTCCTAGTCGCCAAAGTTTCATGCGTTGAGTATAATTGGCCGTTTTCAGTTCCAAGGAGAACTGATCGTGCTTGCAGAAACCCAAAATTAATAATATCCAGGCTCAACAACAATGTAATCGCTAACGATCAACTGATCAGTTGAACCTCGAGGTTTATCAACCAAATTGCTGATGATGGCAGGATCAGGTTCGAGGAATTAAACAACTGATTAGGAATGCAGAAATGGACTCTAGACTACCATGGCTATAGTTAAATATTTTGGGGCAGTTTTCACTCAGGAACCTCTTTTAGACGAAGAGCTAGACCCAAATACGAAGTCAACAAACCACCTACTCACAGTGAACTTTGACCAAGATGATGAACTTAAGGCTCTTAGCACATCAGATATGGAAAATCAAGAGGACTGGATGAAATACATCCCAAAATTCTAAGACATTGCACAATTTATTGCAGCCCCACTGACTGTGGTATTCAATATGTCACTTAGCCAAGGTTAGTTACCTGCGGACTGGGAGGATGCAATTGTCGCGCTCATACATAAAACAAGACCAAGACAACTTCCATCGAACTACAGACCTATCAGCCTCACCAGTGTCGTTGTTAATATACTGGAAAAAGTAGTCAAACAGATCATAATGACATTTGTAGAAACTAACAACTTGTTAAACAGTGAACAACATCGCTTCACAAAAGGTTTATCTTGCACAACAAACCTCCTTGTATCAAAGGAGCAGTGGGTAAATGTTGTAGACAATGGAAAATCAGCGGATGATGTCTACATAGGCCTCAGCGAAGTATTTGATGTGGTGCTGAAACAGACTACTTTTGAAGCTGGAAGATCTATGTATTGCCGGATCCCTCCTAAAATGGCCTAAATATTTACTGGTAGATTGTGGACACAAAGTAGGAGTAAATTCAAAGCGTTCCGCCTGCCAACTAGTACTCAGTGGAGTACTACAAGGTTCTGTTCTAGATACTTTACTTTTTCCACTGTATGTAAATGATCTCCCAAGTATAGTTGAGTCATTGATGTTAGTATACTCTGATGATGTAGAAATCTGGCGAGAAATAACGAGAGATACAGATGCATGTGTATTTCCGGCAGGCTTAAATTATGCGATTAGCTGATCTAAGGAGTGGCCGATGCCAATCGAAGCGGCAGTGTGTCTACAAGCACTTAGGCGATGCAAAGATAAATAGGTATAGCATTGGAGAAGTTCCTGTGCCCATGGTCCGGTCTCACAATGATCTTGAGGCGACAGTGAGCCATGATCTTAAGGCCACACCTCACAGCCGAGAGGTCGCACCTAAGGGGTTTAGAACCCTATGGGTTTTAAGACACACATTCACCAAGTAAGATACTACCATGTTCAATACAATATACGCAACGTCAGTGAGAACTAAGCGTGGGAACTGCGTTCAGACTGCTAATCCCTGCATGAAAGTTGACTAGTGTATCCTGGAAAACGTACAGACTGCAACTATTCGTGTAATTCCAGAACTCCTGGATTCATCATACAAAGGCGTTTGAAAACTAACCGTCCCTAATCTGTCCTACCGCAGATTGAGTTGATCTGATTTGGATGTATGGGATACTAAGAAATGATTTTGGGTCCAACATATCCTCCCTTTTTTCCACTAGATAGGGACATCACAGAGAACATATCAGACAAGTAGAAAATCCATGGATGAACAAAATACCCATGGCTTACAGGTTTTCACACCGATTATCACCAATTCTCACAATTTATTACACAAAATAGTGCTGTCCTCACCTACAGTTCACTAATTAAAAAGAGAAGACTAGACACTCACGGAGGTCTACTAGCAAAGGAATAGCATAGGCCGTAGGCTTTCTGTCCTTACTAAACAAATCTGTGTGTGAATTTGAATCTGACCTTGAAAAAGCCCGCTGACCTAGCGGCTTAAACGACTAATATTAGCAACACGATTGCTCACCACACTACCTACTTCTAGTTTCTATCCCAAGATTATAGTGATCTAAGGCTTGTGTTACTTCCAATTTTTGTTGATTGCTTTCCTTGATGCAAGTAAGTCCAACACATGCCCCTACTAGGTCGTCCATTTGCTTTTTCTTTTCCAGCCTTCGTCACTTTCGCTACTTTGCATGCTCCATTAGTATACGTAGCACCTTCTGGCTAAATACGTACCGCTACGTCAATGGCAAGAACTTCCCGGTATCGCTATGGTAATTATGAAGTATAGAATATCGTCGACTCAGAAATGCCTTAGTAAGTTTTTGGCTTCAAACCGCGCATATGTAGTCGTAGAGTAGCTTATTCACAAGTAACTACAAGCTTTTATGAATATTAGACAACTGCAGGTCAAACTAAACCACATTCTTTAAAAAGCCACACGGTTCTATGAAAGTTCATCTATGTCTTGTTAATTTGTTAGTGCAGACGATGGCTGATGTTCCTGTAAGAAAATAAGCTATATGGTCTCGATATATCTTACTGTGTTTCAAGGTGTTACTCGTCAATCACTCCTCACATTGGTTGGTGTTTTAGCCATCTAGATTCATAGGTTAGTTAAAATCATCACCCTGTTAATATACAGACACGGATTTCAAGGAACAAACTATCCTCTGACTAGCAATTCCCAATCTGTCTATGATTAAGACCTTCATTGGTTTCAGCAAAATCATGTTCACCAGACCCATCATAGTAAAATAACATAAGTACCGTGGAGAGTTTACTTCTACTGATGTAGTTGGATGTAGATAAGCATTGTAACACAGTAGCTGCCCAAAGTTTTTGTGCGTTGTGGTTACTTCACCGAGCATTCAAATGCTTTGACGAAGATATGTTTCGAATTCTATATACCACCTACGTAAGACGACACTTAGAGTACTGTATTCCAGTAGTTGGTTCATGTGGCGAGACTCTAATTTAGCGACGACCTTTGAACGAATCTTAAATGACCTTGACAATTATTAGCCAATCAGAAGACAGTTAGTATAAAGTGAGAATATATTGTAAGTAAGTAATGAATTACAGTGGATATTCTTCTTTTACATGATTTAAAAGCTTGTTAAGCTTTGATGAAGGTCCAGAGGCTCTGAATTCATAATGCATTTTGTATAGAAACTCGTCCATTGAGTTGGTGGTTAGGGTTGTACCCTGTCAATAGACACCTCTTCTCTAAAATCCGATCGCATGTTAGAACCCTAATACTAACCTAACCCTAAACCCTAATCTAACCCTAACCTTAACCTAACCCTTAACCCTAATCTAACCCTAATCCTAACCCTAACCTTAACCCAACCCTAATCTAACCCTAACCCTAACCTAACCCTAAACCCTAATCTAACCCTAACCTTAACATAACCCTAAACCCTAACCTTAACCTTAATCTAACCATAACCCTAACCCTAGCCTTAGCCCTAAACCCTAATCTAACCCTAACAATAACCCTAAACCCTAACCTAACCCCAAACCCTAACCTTAATCTAACCCTAAACCCTAATCTAACCCAAAACCCTAACCTTAGCCCTAAACCCTAATCTAACCCTTAACCCTAATTTTAACCCCAAACCCTAACCCTATTGACGAGTTTCTATACAATATGCATTATGAATTCAGAACTTCTGAGCCTTTATCAAACCTCAACAAGCTTTTAAATCATGTAAAAGAAGAATATCCGCTATAATTCATTACTTTCTTGTAATATATTTTTACTTTATACTGTCTTCTGATTGGCTAATAATTGAAATCGCTCAAACGCTTCTCATTGGCTAGTCCCTAAATTAGAGTTTCGCCGTTCATGTCTTATTAAGGATATTGGGCATGTTCAGGGTGTGGGAAGTCAACTGGTGATTATCTTTTAACTCCCTTGCGATGGGCACTTAAAATGCTAAACCTTTCCGCCTTATCGTGTTGTAGGACGCGAGATGACATTATTTTGCTATTCCGTAACTCTGATTACGATTTGGGTGTTAATATCTCATCTTTTTGCTCTCTCCAGCACTAATAATCTTCCAGACCATAGTAAAAAGGTTTAAAAACCTTGATCTAATAAACTCAGAGTGGGGTTCATTTTTTCCCAAAGAGTGGTCAATGACCGGAACGTTTTACCCAAACAAGTATGAGTCCTATCTGTGAACATTTTCAAGGAGGAACTGGGCCTTCACTAGAAAACAATCTGTATGGATTAACACAGGCCCACCGACCTACCATTCTTATTACCGAAGAATGAAGATAGATGGACTTAGTTCAGTCCAAGCTGTCTGGCCTAAAAAATCCTCAATACATCCCAGTACCATTTGCCTCGTACTCAAATAGATTAACACAATGCGTAAGATCAGTTCACAAAGTTACTGACTGCTGAATTCGGTTAGATTTCGAACGATAGTCGTAAACAATGGTTAGAGTCTGTAGGTAGCATTGTTCAGAATCGATCTCTGGCCCAGATTCATCCCCTTTGTGTTTTGAAATATTCCCATACTTTTTATTTCATGAGTTTATTATGTACTCATTATCTACACCCAGTATTTTCTCCCATCAATACTGTTACTATTACCACTACACTGGCTCTGTGTTGATGATTTCACCTCTGTGCTGATGTAGTTTGGTAAGTTGAACCAGTACGCATGTTCCGGTTTTCACGTTGATTATGTCTGACCGAGGTGATCTAAGTAGTTTCTCCCCATCATCACGATATTAGAATATCGCGATGCAATACTGAAGAAATACTATAGAGTTAATAAAGTGTCTGAATATATAAACAGAGCTCCAAGCGCGAATTAATGATATCATGTGGTTTCGACAATAATATTTCCCTAGGACAAACCCATTTCCCCTCAAAATAAACCGAAATTCAACTACCTACTGAAACTACTACGGTTGCTACAGTCGGTTGGTTTAGCTAAATACCTCCTTGTGATATGTCTTGAACCGTTTTCTAGATTACTTCATTAGCACAAAATGACTGGTTCCTGCCAACTTGTAACAAAAATATCGGATATCGAATTAAGTATTTTTAAACAAATTAATAATACCTAATCCCTTTGTAGTATTTTATGGGGGTGGATATGTAAACTTCTTTACTAAACCTGTGGATAATTTGCTTCGAGGTTTCTATGATGCGTTTTTCCTATTCAGACACCAACTAATGAAAAACGACTACGATAATAATCTGTCCTTGGCAACAGGAGGTTTCGATCATACTATCCGAATGTGGCAACCGAGCACTGGAAAATATATCCAAGGTTTTCAGCACAATGAATCACAGGTCAGTTACTTAAGTGTATTCGAAACCTAAATCTTTAGGTAAACGCTCTTGAATTTTCCCGCGACGGACAGTACCTAGCAGCTGGTGGTTATGGTCGAGTTCGTATTTATGATGTTCAGGGCCCCGCAACACCCTTCGTTATGGTTTCAGATTTCACGAAAAATGTAAACACAGTTGGCTTTAATGATACAGGGAACTGGATGTTTGCAGGAGCTGAAGATCGTGTAGCAAAGATTATAGATTGGCGAGCTGGTGGAAATCTGTGGATAACACGTATTTACCAGGTAATCGTAAGTTACCTAGTTGTAAAACTTTATTAAAACGCACGGAGGTTGGCGGTTAGGGACGTGAACAGTCGTTATTCTGACTTTGAGAAGCAGACTTAACACTACATTTAAAACAAAGCACTTTCCTAGTTCAATGGTTATCCTATGGTTTTATCCTCCTTTCGCGTCCGTGTTTAGTGTGATTGTCTTCCAACTGTTGTTCAGTTTCACCTCTTATATTGTTGTTGAGTGTAACAACCTCGATTGACTCAATTTCGCGCAAGTTTCGACTTTGAGTTGTATTGATTTTTTCTTCGAGTATTGGTTCAGTGGTTCAAAAAATACTGGATAGTAATTGAATACTAAAACTTTGAAGTGATTATTATCATTAATCGCTTTATTATACTAACCTGGGAACGTGAAACTTGGTTAAACAAATAGGCGTAAGTACACACTAGTCTTCACAGATTAAAATTTTATAAACAGGTTGACTCACATTACTTTTAATCCTTTCACTTTTGTTGTCCCATAATGCATACTTATTAACTTCAACTTATAGCTTAGTAACCAATTGATTTAATCCTTATCGTGATCTGTTGGTATCCACTACTGAGGAGTTTTAGTATGAATGGAACAGCTCATTTCTCAATGTTTCTGTCTCTTACATAAGGTTGTAATGAAAAATAAAGAATACACTATTTAGATAGACAATCAGTGGTCTATGATTAAGTGCCACGGTTATGAAGTTCATAAGCCGTGGATAGCTACAGAACACTTTTAGTTTCCTATTAGATATTTGTATACGTCTCCTAATTCACCATAGGGATTATCCAAATAGTTTTTATGTAGACGTGCATTGGCTGTTTGTGTGAGCTTGATAAATGTAATTCCATCCTCAGGTCTTACAATAATTTGACTTCAAAATTGTTATACTTAAAGTTGTTCAACCCTCACATATCGCTCTTTGTTTCTCAGTACTCTAATATTTGACGGACAATTGTGATTGTGTAACCTCAGATATTATTACTATCAGTATTAGTTTATTAGATAATGGGAGTAATCTAAGTCGTGTTAGCAGTATTCAAAACCAGAACATCATCTGTTCTTTTTTGTTCTTACGTAGACGTCCTCGAGCATTAATACAATGTTGCTTCATCGCAATCAACATGAAATTCTCATCGGAACAAGTAAAGAGAAGTTATAGTTTGGGACCTTCGCAACAATGCGGCTAATTCTATATGCATTGATGGCCAAATTGAACCCATTCATAGTTTATCTATTGACCAAGAAGTAACTTCATTAGCTGCGGTTAACTCTGCTGGTCAACTTATTGTTTGGTCTTTAACAGGTGATTCTGCTTGGAAACCTATCGAAAAAGTACGTTCGCACTTTAGGTATACGCATTTTAATATGTATCTCTACTTTTGGGTTTCAAATCAATGCTATTTCTTAATTGAGTATTATTAGAAATAAAGATAATTACAGTGATAATAAAGTAATCTGGTACATTAAGGTTACTAGTCCAGTTATACTATTAATGATAGATGCAGAGTAACCGTCTCTCTTACTTTACTGGAGATCGGGCGTTTTTTTATACCTTTTACTGATATCCACAGATATATCCATGTCTTACGTTAGATAAATTTTCACATACTGTATGAAGAATAAATATTTCAGTGCTTTTTAAAATGTGTAGAGCTATGTGACATGCACAAAGTCAAATCAACTGTTTGGCATTTTACACAAATGCTATTGCTCCCATTCGCTTCCTAACCATCTGATTAGCTGCGCCTAAGCGCTCTGAGACAACCCACCAACTTTGGAAAATCATTCGGAATATAGTAGTTGGAAAATGCTTTGAGTCTTACTTTACTTTTACGGTTATTATGAGGACCGGGTAGAACAGGTACAGCTAATTCATTCAGTCGTCAAAACACCAACCGCAGCTGCTAGCTTGATGTGCGGGTTAGGCTTACCTATTTTGATGGCTCAACTGAGCTATATTGATTGGAACACATGTTCCTTTATGTCTTACTATACCAGCAAGAACGGTAAGACTAAATACACCAACTTAAGGTCCGAGGGCGAAGTATTACTGCTGACTTTAGGGGTGTGACTAGCAGTAAGGTGTTCACTCTAGACAACCAGCATCTCTAGCGATACTACCTCACAACGGAAGGAAGGGGTTAAGAAAGGTTGACCCTAAAAATGTAACACCTCACCTTACATCATGGACTTCCGACTTCGGTGTTAATGTTTCTTGAAGTGTGGAGCTAATGAATCAGAAATGTCCCATAAAATGGCCATGCGCGACCGACCTCATGCACTTGTCTCTTTAGCTCTGCGGTCTTGCTCTCGAGTCGCTAAGACCACCACCACTTCATTTTCCTTCTCAGGTCCCTCCAAAAATATACTGTGTGGGAAGCCGGGAAGTGACAACCGCCCTTATAATTCTAATGGCACCCGAGATCGTCTTGTTGACAATCGAGTCTATCACTCACCGTGTACTAATTCTCCCGTCCCCACGACTAAATTCTCCCGTATATCTTTATCACCACGAGCCACTAATGCTAATTACTTGAGTTCACGAAATGTTATTCTTGGTCTCCTGAATCCACGCTCTAAACTACATGTTGGAGCTTTTAAATTTTGAACTTTAAGTCAGATAGGATAACAGGGTTCTTTAGCCAGTACTCTAAAATATTGCACCATCGATGAATGCTGTGTCTCCGAAACACACATACAGGATCCAATGACAGTCATTCATTTGGCCTCACCTTGTCAATATAAAGAATCGGAACGATTTACTCTTCGCATATCTGTAGGTCCCCACTGGTGTGGTTGTAGTATTGTTCAAGAGTAAAACAGCTTCTGTCAGACTGAGTTCAAATAAGCAGTTGTTTGTGCGCTGTCCGACTAAATGGAACAGTAAAAGCTCGAAAAGATAGGGACACGCCGTTGCCTCTTCGTTGTCTTTGCATACGATCCCACTGATTGCAGCTTGGATGAAGCTAAAGATAATTTTTATAGGAAGCTATCCAAATCCATTTTAAAAGCTAAATGCTCTAATTAATAGTGACAAGTTACTTTAACGCTCAAGTAGATACACTAAACCAAATCGTAAGACATTTTGATAGATCTTACAGTGTTGCGGCTCAGCAAATGGATAATGGTGGCTGTCTGGTGCAACCATGATCAGATAATTGTCTGCTTCTAGCAAACATCAACTCTAAACATAAGAAAAAAACATCGTCTGACGTGGCGGCCTCCACAATTGACTCAGCGATAGTTTCAAATAAATCACGTTGCCATCAACCATTGTTTGAGTTGCTCGTTTAAAGACTCGTTCATTCTGGAGCATATGTTTAGGACTTGGATCATGTTTTAGTTCGAGCACGTAGTTGTCTGCACCTAACTGAACGAAAAAAAACACAGCAAGTAAACCCCTTAGATTAGACCAGAGAACAAGCCAGTCAACCTTAAAAACGATATCCGTCCTGAGATGGCTTGGCTTGATATCTAAAAAGCTGTGGAAACAACGGTGATATATATTTGTAAATTAAACCAATAGGGTAAGTAAAATCATTAGATTTCAGCGGCTCATTAGCGCTCGGGAATTCATCCCGTCTGGCTTATTTATTTTATTTGGACACATAATATTGCACCAAATCGATATGCGCCACGTAAATCATTCGATTTGTGTGTGTGCTGTGATACTGCTCGGGTGACGAGACCGAAGCAGGTGGTTTCCTTAGGGAGCCACACCACGAGCCTTTGACTTAAAAGTCTGATCCACAAGACAGTGAAGCAACGTAAGATGTACAGTCCCATGGTAGCCGGTCACTAACAGTAGGTTCATTCTCCAATTGTTTCTTAAGGATACTAGAGCTCATGTGCTCGATTGGTTTGGAATCAGAGTTTTCCAACTCACCTAGGTGGACCCTCCGCGTTCACCAACCTAGTTAAAGCGCCGGACATTCTCTTTTAGTTCTCTCAATGTTGCGAACAACAACCCCGCCGCAAGAAGGCGGTGAGTAGGACTTCCCTAGCAGTGGCTGTATACGCATGCCCGTGTGAGAGAATTTTGAGAGGGAGGGTAGACTCTCCCCACCCTCGACCGTACCAGGGCGTTTGTGGGCTCCGAATATGGTGAGGAGGGGAGGCACCTTAAATGTAGGCAGTGGTGAGTAGATGGAAAAGACGACAGCGATAAGTAACAGTGGACAACTTTTCAGACTTATAAAGGAAACGGGTATTACGAATCCGGCTGTTAGTGAAACTATCTCGTAAAAAGATGTAATTATTATTCACACTTAGTCCAGGAGGTTGAACTGATGAGCAAAAACTTTATGGAAGAGTTCAACTGGCCCTCAATCGCAATTCAGTTACCCAATACCTCCAAACAGCTTGAATGGCAAATTGATGTATGTCCTTCAACTCTGAATAAGGTTGAAAAGGCTATACGTAGCCTAAAGTGAGGAAGAGAGGTAGGGCCTGGGGCACTTACCTCTGGGAGTTTTTAGGATGGTGGTCCAGTTTCAGAAGTTAGATTGACTGAGACCTTGGCTAAACTCTAGAAAATGAACGTAATCCCACCTAACTGGTCTCAATCGCTGGTCGCCCTAGTTTTTGAGAAAGAAGAGTAATCTTGTGACAATCACTGAAAAGTCAGTTTAACTAATATGGTGTCTAAAATATTGACCTCAACAATATTTCAACATTTAACCAGATCTCTTGAAGAGCAAACCCGTGGAAACCAGGCTGGTTTCAGATATGGATGTGGATGTATAGACTAAATATCCACCTTTTGACAAGTTCTGGAACACGGATACTTTTTAACGTCCAACTATGGTTGTATGCCTTGACCTTAAGGCGGCGTTCGACGCCGTTGACAGTGAGGTTCTACGGAAGTCTGTCATCGAAAGGAGTACCAAAGAAGCACGTTAACCTTGTACAGGCTCTCTATCCAAACACTATTGGCCGAGTCAGAGCATATGGTGAACTGTCATTGTAATTGTCGTTGCCCGCCTACCTCGATGGACAATGTTTTCTGGTGTAGGAGCAGTCTGGAAGGAAGTTAGGGGTGGCCAAACCATGAAGACACTGATAACTGAACTGTGCCATGTTAATACGTGGTTGGGGACTTTGAATAGCGTGGTTCAAAATCGTTTGCCATGGCGCAGATGCATCCGTCCTCCGTATTCCTCCAAATTCTAAGATTCTAAACTCAACTATTTTTTGTTTTTATTTTACTAATTTATATTTACTCGAATCGTATCTTCGATGCCTCATCTTTCCTAATAACACTGAAATTGCTACTACCTGTACTATTCTGGGATTTGGCTTGACAATTTCATTTTTCTGTGCTGACGGGGTATGGCAACTTGAACCGAGGTGCATACGTACAAGGTTATACGTTGTGACTGACTGGTTCAGTCAAAAAAGAACCTTCAAGTGCTGATCTTAGAAGACGAAAAATCGGAAATCTTTAAAAAAACAACTGAAAACTAAGTCGTTTATGGGCGATATGTTAATTCCTATATATTTTATTGTGATGATAACGAAGTAGCTATATCCATGACAGTGATATTTTATAATAGCGCAAACCAAATAACTATGAACGTTCGTCAATATTTGAACGAACAGTTTGACAGAAATAGGATAAATCATTCGTCGAAACTATATTTGAAATAACTGTCGCAACTGAAATCTAAATCAATTAATTTTATTTACTACCTTGAAGAAGTGGAGGCAACAATCACTGGATAAAACGTTGAACTTCAGTCCCTGGGTTCAAATCAAATATTTAAGAAAGGCTAAAAAAAGTCGTAGTCCTACGTTTCATTGATAAATTACTGGGTCATGTCTACCCAACGGTTGTGAGGAATTTCGGGAAACGGAAATAAGAGAAATAAAAAGGACAGCGGCAGCATGTGAGACCGTTACGGGACATCTATCTCTTTTCATTAGAGAAAGAAAGGCTGTAAATTAGTTGGCATAAATCTTTCGGACAAGGATGGAACTACAGTACTGGGTGGGGCGTTTTGAAGAAAACACTAATTAACATCCAGTTAGTCTCCAGTAATACACCATCCTATAGTAACTTTAATGGGAGATTGACACAAATCTCGCGATTTTTAGTGACGTCAAAAAGATCATATTTAACTTGTGATGAAAAGGAGCAGCAGGACCTGATAAGTTAACTCCAAAAATACTTGAAGATGGTTATTTATTTCAGGTATAAAAAGCCCAATGGTTAGGACCTGAATATAGACGGTGATCTGGTGTTAAGACCGCTTGGTTTTCAGCATATAGGTAACAGGTTTGAACCTCACTCCACGTACTTCAGTTGCCTCAAACATTCTGATACGAGCAAAGGTGAGAATTCTTCTCTCACAACTCCGCATTCACAGGCATTATAAGAAAAATCGTCTTAAACGGATTGTTGTTAAGAAGTTGGCTTCACCCACCATCACAATAAAATATAATCTTTAGCTTAGTTGCTAAATTGCTTTAAAGTGCAGATGATGTATGGTTACATTAACATTATCCCAAGTAAATAGTAAGTAGGTTCACTTATGTCTTCACAAAACGTCTCATTTATTTACGCTGGCTTTCCGATTACTTATATCATATCAGTTTACTCTGGTGGGTCGTAAGCACGACAAAACGTCAAAGTGTGCTAACGATTTTAAAGCACTAACTGCATCTGAAAGCTTTTAGAAGCTGTCTTGACTTATCTTAGGGGACTGGTATTATAAAACACATCTCAATAAAGAAATCTATAAAGTTGATAGCTCACCAGTTGGGAGTCTCAAGCGCGGTAAAACTGGTCGATCAAACCTTCTTGTGTCATTGTCTATTCCCGCAATGAAGCGGAGGTCCTTAAGCATTACAATTCATCAGGATTAGATAACATTACCCTACTTAACGACAAAAGCGAACTTCTAGTCAAAATAACGGGCCGAATTATTCATCTTCCGATACCAGTGTTCATTCATCCTAGGACCAAGGCGATTCCCATATCCATCTTTAAAAATGGGTTACATTAAAGTATCCGACAATAATTGGAGTACAAGTGTACTTTCAAGTCCCTTTAAAATATTGGCTACCATCATATTCAATAGGTTGTGCGAAACTCATGAAATACAAACTCGCAAGCAGCACACCGGTCTTAGTTTAGATTGTATTGATCATGTTTTCACTTTTCACCGAATTCTTAGGGACACTTATTATAATGTAATAGTTACTAAGATTCTTTATGTCGGCCTCCTTTGATTGGCTAAATAGGAATTTGCTCTGAGATCATCTGTTGTAGAAAGATTGGTCAGAAATTTTTGTTAACATACTTTGCGCTTTTTAGTAAAATATCTTAAGGAAAGTTATGACATACAACCACCTGTTTATTGTTTCAAGTCGACAGTAAAGTTAAAAGGAATTATCAATTCTCACCCTAGAATTTCTTTGTCGATTGCAGCCTTATAAGAAAATTATGATGGGTATGACACTACCATTATATACATAATCTAGTTCAAACCACATATAATCGGTTAACAATTCATGTGAATAAATAATTCCGAAATGCGAAGCGGTTTCGAAAAACACTGAAGATGGTTTCTGCACTAATCTCATGTAAGCGCTGATGGTGGCATAGCAGATGACGTCATTCTACGCATCATAATCACTCGAGTAACTTAAGCCACTTACATAATGTCAGTCTATCTGTAGTACATCGGGCTTAAGGCGGCATCATTAAAAGCGATCCTGCCCCTATATCTGTTCGCCAACTTTGTGTTTGATCGTCAGTATATCCAGAGGATTATTTCGATAGCAACACAATTTGGTTGGTGGCAATTCGATTGGCAACAATCTTAGGATGCCGGTTTCAGTTGTATTATGATCCCGCTACTTCTCTGTCGCATATCGACGCTAGGAGTGGAAATGGAGGCAAAAACGTATTTGGTTAATAATATTGTTTGAGATAGTATTATAAACGAGGGCAACTAGCTCGTTCTGATAATGTATGAACTCTTGTTGCTATCCCCTGAAATATTAGAAGCATTTAGATAGATTTTATTATACTACCAAAGTTCTTTTATTTTTGAGAAAGAACTTTAGCGATATTCCTTAGTTTAAGATTTTTAGTAATCGCCTTATGTGGTCTTTAATTTCTAGTTAACATCGAAAATATACATCAATAGGCGTTAGACTACGATACAATACCTTTTCTCGTTATGTTTACTAAAACTATATACTGATTTTTTTTCTAACAGCATCGGCAGAAAGTACACCCAACTTATGTTCTGAAAGTGCAATTTTCGCCAGATAGTACATTGATAGCTACTGGGGGAGGTGATGGGAAATTTAATCTTTTAAAGACTGCTGATTTTAGTTTAGTTACAACGCGACAGGGTAGTCCATCAGGTCATCACTGGGTTTGGGATTGCGCGTTTTCGGCAGACTCTCGCTTTTTGCTCACTGCGACTTCCGATGGAGTTGCTCGCTTATGGAATTTGGAGACAGGTGAAGTGCCCGTTGAATACAAAGGACATCAGAGAGCGATAACTTGTATGGCCTTCCGTGATCATTCTTTGAAGTCTATGTAGTCTTTAACTCAATGAAAACTAGATGTATAGTATGAAAACAATTGCTTGATCTTATGCATTTTTACTTTTTTAAAAGCTGTTATAGACGTGAACTTCTGAGCTATTTGTAAGTGTCAATTTATTTCCTTAGCATGGTACAGCAGATGTTAATGCTTGCAAAGTGCCGCTGTTTATAATACATCAAATTTCCAAATTAGAGTACAACGTCGAAAAATTCAACTTATGTGAATTGATAGATGAATGAACCTCTTATGATTTCAAACGATTTATACTTTTTACAGTAATGTACTTACTCTAGTAATAATTATATAATAAGGACCTTGTTGTGTGAATCCGCATTTTTCCACTTGTGTAAAAGTTATTTAGACCCATGAGTTGTAGTCATTACGCTTTCCGAAGTTTGTTTGTCACGCAGGTTTCTGTAGTTGTTGTTTTATAGTTCACAAATAGATTCGTTCTTGGGCCAATATGTTTCATTGAAATTATGAACTGACCGATGGTCTACAGTTTAAGCGTTTGCATACGACACTGAAAGTTCTAGGACCATTTCTGGTGTGAACACGAAACACTCGTGTTTTTTTTGACAATAGGAATTGAAGACTACTTGGTATGGGTCCGCGCAACCATTGTAACCAGTGTTTGGAGACCAGTTGACACTGCTCAGAATCGATCACAAGGGCGTAGATGCACACACTCTTTGTCTTCCCTTAAACCATGTGATTAAAATTGCTTTATACCTCTCTTTCTATGGACTAATTCCTTCTTCCTGTATTATATCCTTATACGCGATCTTTCTTTAAATACATTACTATCATTGAAGTAACTACTTCTATGAATTTAGTGTTCATCGCGTTGTGCTAGTGAGGTGTCGCCAGTTGGACCGATGCATATATGTGCCCGGTCGTACGCTGAAGATGACTGACTTGATAAACAACAGGTGCACATGCGAATACGTTCAGTACAACTGAGTACGTAGGGACACCTTTATGTACTTTACTTTAAACTAAATACTTAGTTAAGTGTTTTAATTGTTCCCACTGAACTTCCTCAATAAAAACTTCTCTAGAATCAGTCAACAACTCCACAATGTAAGTTGTAGAGTGCAATAGTCTGAGCTACGGGACTTTCTACGCCATTTCCATAGGCTACCATAGTTGTGTTAAGGCTTTCAGCCTTTCTCCGTATCATTGCTAATGCATTATTTTGTCTCATTTGCTACACAGCTAGTTAATTTTATTTGACCGTGCTAATGTGTTGTAACAACTTGAACTAAATTACGCTTATGCCCATGTGTACATTGATTATGACTGACCATGAAAATAAACCAAGTTTCCTTTTAGAGAAAGCGGATAATATTGCTGACGAAAGACATGATTATCAGCGGTACCGAACAATCCAAGTCACGCATAAAACAAAAAATATGAATTTATTCTGTCAAAATAAGTTCATCCAAACTCCAGTCTTCAAAACTCCCATCAGGAAGGAAGCGTCGAATAATGATAGGTATCTTGTTAGCCCTTAATTCCTTTTCAGCAATTTTTAGAGGATCTCGTTCACCATCCAGTTCGACCATAACGGGAGCAGACATTGATAGTTGCAGAGCTCGTGCACCCAAAACTCTAGCACGCTCATATTTCGTAAGATATGGAGTAGTAATCCGTTTACTTTTTTCTACTGGGGCAGCCATATTTTGACCTGATAAGCGCGGCGCTTCATCAGCTGTTATGTACGTGACACCTTCTATAAAATAATATGCAAACGCTTAGTGACTGGCCTCTGTAAAATCTCTAGAAATGTATATTATGCGACTAATTTCAGTGTGTACTCAATCTGTGCAGACTAGTTTGAAGATATCACATAAACTGTACTATTAAACAAAGAGTCTAATAACCACGAGTACATTGTGTAGGAAGTGATTACGCTATGTAGATGTGAAGTGCAAGCCCGTTACACATTAAAAAGTAATCAGGATTGTGGAGAAACAGTTTCTCCACAATATTGATAGACTCAGAAAGACCTACCGATATTTACATATTTACTTAAACACACACAATGAGGCACCAAATAGATTGCTCAATTTGTTTGACGGCTGCGATACCGCCTGGGTGCCGAAACCGATGGTTTCCTTAGGGGGCCACACCTCGAGCCTTTGACTTAAAAGCCCGACCCACAAGACAGTGAAGCAACGTAAGATGTGCAGTCCCATGGTAGCCGGTCACCAATAATAGGTCCATACTCCATTTGTCTCTGGAGCCCATGTGCTCGATTTGTTTGGAATCAGAGTTTTCCAACTCACCTAGGCGAACCTTTCGCATTCATCAACCTGGTTAAAGTGCCGGCCGTATGATTTAGACATTTTCGAGTTATGATCACCTGTTTTATTACAGACTTAGCTGATCAGGATTGTGGAAAGCTTAATGATAGGTCGGGTAAGATAGGTATTGCTAGACATGTAAATCTTTGAGTAAGTGAGCTACATCACCTGTATAGTCCATGGAAATTCCGTGGATTATTTTTAAACACAAGAAAAAGGCAACGATATTGAAGACAGAGGGTTATATGTCGAATCTGCAGCACCTCACATTAACGAAGTAAGAAAGGTAAGTAAGCAGGGAAGAGAAATCGAAATTAATAGTGACGAAAATATAGAATTCCGGAAGTTTAAGAAGAACAAACAGCAGCGGGGTATAAAATGTTAGGGACGGCACTTCGTTCAAGAATTAAAGGAATATTGATTATGGATATAATTGCAACCGTTATTGCGCGTAAACTAAGAACTTGAACCATTACTACCAAGAAGTTTGTAACTATCGAGATCGACCAACGGGAGTTAATGGCTTCATGGATTGGCAGCACTTAATCCATTCGAAAAATTCATATCATAATTTGTATTAGACAAAGTGGTAAACAACTCTAGCCAACTGACTAATTAAATATCAGCACTAACAAATGAGAAGTTTGAAAGATGAGAAAACATGATATCCTTGGGTCGCGTTATGACAAAGTATGTGGGACTTACCAGGTTTTGTGTCTAAATCCTCCTCTGGTACCTCGTCCAGAGGCTCTTCATCTGATTCAAAGTCATCTGCACCGCCATACTCATCACACATTTTACGAATAGTTGATTACCTAGAGAAATGTCAACGGAAAGTAATTGAATTTGTTTATACATGAACTTTTCTACATAACGATTTGGAAACCCATATTTCGGTCTGCCATTGTTCATAGCACACGTTTTGGCTGTTAAAATAATTATATACCCAAGCAACCAAAAAAGGGGGAATAAAGGGGTAAATGCTTTGGTAGCGAAAGGGGAAAACGCATCAGAATGTCGCCTGTCCGGGGGAAATACTGCGGATTTCCCCCTTTTTTGGCCGCTTTGTCGATAAATTACCGACTTTTCGCCTAAATTTCCGTTAAATTGTCTACTTTTCGCCTAAATATCCGCCAAATTACCCACTTTTCGCCTGAATTGTCTACTTTATGCATAAATTTCCGCGGAATCGCTTACTTATAATGCTTAATTGTCTACTTTTCGCCTAAATACACACAGAACTCCCTATTTTCGATCCATTGACATAACCCCAAAGGTCTCTTATGTTCGCCTTTATTTTCAACAACATACCGAAATAAAACTGCAATGCACTGGAAAACCGGTGTATTTTAAGAAGATTTTATTTAAGAGGAAAATCGTATTATTGTACAACATTAGAGCAGAAGCTTGAGCATCAATCGTTTTGTATATCCATTGTAATTGCCAATTCATTGTTATTTGAAAAGATCTACAAAAGATGAAACAGGTGATGTATTATTTATAAGGCATTTGCATCTAATCTAAAGTTAACTGACACAAACACATTCTCAACACTTCTATAGTTTCCCAAGTAAGTAATAAAGTAAGCTCTGACAAAATAATGTTTATTAAAATGTAGGTAGAACATTTAAAAAAAATTGCATGGATTATTCCCTTCAGCCACATTCGTTCGCCTATTGAGAATTGAAGTAGTCGTCCTGTGAATTATTAAGTTTAAAAAACAGAAAAAGTCACAACAATCTATGAATGACATGTCTTGGCACAGCCAAATACTTTAAGCTGAACTTACGGTTATGTTCGTTAATACTGATGACTGTAACTATAGAGCTGTATGTATGTAACTTACCTAATTCGTGAATAACTTTAAATTTCATAAGTGACCAATTTTCATTCGGTTGGTCGATATACACCTTCAGAAGTGCGACCAACCGAATGAAAATTGGTCACTTATGAAATTTAAAGTTATTCACGAATTAGGTAAGTTACATACACAGAAAGTATAATTCACTATAGATTCTCTGAAGTCTGCCACAGATCTGTTACTTTCCATACAAATACTGCAATCTCACCGGGAAAACACTTCAACGGATGAAAACACTCTGCCACATAACACTGAGAAGCACAAGAGGTATGTACAATAATCTTACTAACATTTCCTAGAGCTGCCATGAAGCGTAAACAAGAATATCTTTACAATTCAGTAGACATGGATGTTGCTGAAATGCATGCTGGCAATAGTCATGTTCAATATCCCAAATTCAGGTTGTTTGACAAATTCGTTTCGCCTATTGCTAAGTAAGTTTCATGACTATTTACATGTTCAAAAATTAGTTCGACGCAATTAGAGACATCACCGTCTACATCGGAATCAAAGCGTGTCCATGGTGCTTCAGCAGACCAGTAAGTCACCTGCATCAAGTGGACTTTTTCAGGTTAGATAGGTTGCATGCAATGGTGCAAAACATTTCGTCAACTATGAATGACTTCAGTCAAACGTTGCAGAAAATGTCAACAGCCATTTCGGATTTGAGTATTAATGTAAAGCAATTGCTTTCAAAGTCTAATGAGCGCGAAAGACCGCATCAATTCGACTGCGGACTCTCAAGTCAGCAGTTCCCTTTGTCATTTGAAGAGGAACTGCAGATGCTGGAGACAGGTTTGCAGCAGAAAGAAACCAGGGATGGATTTGTAAGTCATTAACATGAATTTAATAATTTGTTACTATTACAAATGGCAATGGTCACTAGGTTATCAAGTGACGATCCAAAGACGTCGATGCGGTATGTTCTGTCGCATCTGTTGACACCTGAGGTTGCCAGTAACTTCACGTTACTTGGAACTTCTTCGAAACGAGCACTTCAGAAATGCACGTCTTACGTCTGCATA